ATTCAGAATATGAGCATCATCTGACAATCTTCTCTGTCCTGATCGTCATATGTATGTATTTTACTTTTTTTAAACACTTCCATGTAAAGTGTAAATGTAATTTAGCAGAATGTGCATTGTTGCTCAACATCAGAGGCCTGCTGTCATACATACATAGCTGCTTAGGAGCAAAATGTTTCAGTCTCAGCTGCATCGTCACTGTGCACTTCAACACAAACAGTTCCACCTATAGATGTGCAACGTGTGAGTACTACTATTGCTTTTCCCTGTACTCGGGTTTTGCCTTTTTACTGTAACAACTGTATAGAAGCAGTGGATCTTATGCTGAAACCTCTATGCTCTTAAACAGGTACAGGACACCAACTGTTCAGTTAGCATTGGCCTCTTATTTAAACCATGTATTTAAAACACACCACCGAATGGCATTTAGATTAAATCTAAATTTAATCTGAGTGAATGAACACTCATGGATGTCGTTTCCTCAGGGAACTGGGTCTATTTGATCATGTATTTGTTACGAATTAAGAAATAAAAGTTGAAACCCAAACTGAATGGGGGGGGGAACCCAGTTGATTTGATAACTTTATCACAGCCAATCTGGGTTTTGTTTTTGTTTTTTCTTTCAGGGCAATTTATTTGCTGTGCTTGTTATTTGCAGGTCCCTTACCTCAGCAAGAGGGTATATGTATTTACTTTTTAGCAGAGATGTAAATTGTTTTTAAAGAATTTTGTACTTTATAATTTATTTCTTATTTATTTTAAGTTCTTTTTCCCTGAGGATTGTATTTCAAATTTATCTTGATTTCTTTCTTTTCAATAAATGTTTTTTAAAGCAACCTTGATGATAATAGTAATTTTCATGAATAGGATAATGTGAGGGTGGAAGTGGAAGAAGATTTAACAAGAAACAACCTGAGCAGAAAATACATTAGCTTGCCTATTTACAGAATTGAACCCCCAAACTGGGATATGGGTTATTTGCATGTGTAACTGGTGTGATTCTGCGTTGTCTGATAAAAAAGGTAAAAGAAAGAAAGACCTCCAAGTAAATAATTTGTCCACTCCAGCTCCTACGACCAAATACAAACCATTGAGTCAATGATACAAACAGTGGGGAAGAGGGTTAGCTCAACCCACCACAACTTCCAAGCTAGCAGGGAGTATATATTCATGCTAGCATTTATGGCGCCTAAAACACATTTATGATACACACATACTACACACTTAACATCTAACAAAAACAGGCTTAATAATGACAATAATTGAACTAAAATCGCAATCAGAAACATCCAGGTGGCTAAATATGCATTATATGTGTGTTTTAAAGTGTTGGAAAGTAATGACACCCGCCTCTCCCACAGGGGAATTGTAGAAAAGGGGAGAGGCAAAAGGGGTACACTGTATTTATAGGGTTGCACCAAAGAAGAAGAAGAAAAGAATGAGGAGGGGCTCTAACTGATAATGAACATAACTACAGGCTTGGAGGTCCTAAAAGTCAGGTATAAAAGGAACAGTTTGGGGGCTTAGAACACATTTTGTGTAATTATAACAATGTGATTTATGACCCTGTTACACATGTAAAATTAAAACATTTTAAAATATATTACTTTTGTTAGTGTTGTGTGAAAGTCTTGAGTCACCTCTCATAACCTATATTTTGTTTCCAAGGAGCCAGACTTTCTATATACTGGGCTATGACTGATTAGAGCATAAAAAGACACTTAACTCAAAGCAAAGCAATGCTGTCTGCTTGTAACAGACAACTTGGTAAAGAACCAAATTAAAATGGTCGTTTTAGGCAAGCAGCCCATCGCATTTTTCTACCCTCTTTTTAGTCAAATCTACGTAAAATGCCGGAGATGATCATTTGAGAGGCATGAAACGGTACTTTTGCATTAACAGGCAATTTCTCCATAAGATTAGAAATATCTCAGCGTCACAGCGTGAAGTGCAGTGTTTCTTTAAAAAACTGAGGAAACAGTTTCAGGCCTGTTACTTCTTTTTTTCCTCGACTTGTCCTATCTACATCACATAGACCGTATGCATTAAAAAAAAAAAAAAAAATAGGGAAAAATTCCACAAAAACTTGAGATCCGTGTGAGCCACTGTTCATTGAAGCTTCATCTGAAATGGGCAAAGGCTGGTTATCAAGAAGCCACCCTTAAGGAAGGGAAATGGAGACGAAAGCCTGAGGTATTTGAAAAGTTACGCTTTCTGAGCATCTTGTGAATGTAACGACTACCGATGTGACGTTCCGTATAGAGGCTTCAAAGCTTGTGTCGACTAATTGAGGAGGCGTTTCCACGATGCGCGGCTTGCTTCATTTATGGGAGGAGCTGAAAATGATGACGTCCGAAGCCTCGTTGCCCGGCTGTACCACGTGACTGGTTCATGAAGTGGTTCGAACTTTGCCGCGAGCTATGACAGAGATAAACCCCTCAGACTTCATTCAAGATGTGGGTGTTTGATGGAGAGTTGCGGTTAGTGAGAGTTTGGAGACAGTTTGGAGGTTTATGAGAGTGAGGAGAGAAAGTCAGGAGAGAATGGAGCCAGCTAAGAAGAGGAGGATGTCCTCCCCTGTGTGGGAACATTGTGATTTTATTCCTCCCAACAAGGTATGTAAATTTCTACAGAAGATGTATTTTCATAATACTGATGGTGCAATACAATTTATGTTAAGCTGTCTTTACTTTTGTACAAAGTGAAGTGTTTGCTATGTGCCAGGGAGCTGGGATAAAACAACAACACCTCATCCATGCTTAGGCACTACAGAGCTTTGCATGAGAATAAGATTAACACAGATTGTGGAGCAAGACCAGGTGAGCCATCAAATGCCATGATAATATAGCATGCTGTAATGTTACTAAATGATATAACAATATTATACAACTGTAATAAGTTACGTGTGTGATATTTATATTGGTGCTTTGTTTTTGTTGTCTTTCCTCAGGAGAACAATCTCAAATAGATGAAGACCTGGTTAGCATGGTGATTGAGGACTCCCAGCCATTTAGCATTGTGGAGGACAGAGAATTTAAAAGATTTGTTAAATCATTAAATCCTAGCTATGTTCTCCCCACTAAAAAGGTCATAAAAGCAGTGAAAACTTAGTTTTTACAGAATAAAATGTGGGCAGGAGTGTGTAGCTGTCCACACCTCAACGTTACAAAAGCACAACCACTGTCCACACCCCAACCACACCTCACCTCACAGTAAACAATCATTTCCATTTTAAGCATTTCCAAATGATCATTTTCCATACTGCCAGTATAAATATACAAAGTATACTGCCATCGCTACACTATAGATGTTTTACACACTCCTTTTGTTGTTGACATTTACAGGCTGTGTGCAAAAGGCCAAACTCTTCAAATTCATGCCAACTAATATTTTTACGTCCAGTAGGTGTCCTACTAGAGCAAATGAAGCTTCAAGAAGCTTTGCGCTGGGGTGAACTAATTGGATGAAAAGCTTCAGAGCTTCATGAAGCTTCATCTGCCCATCACTAGTAATGACTAAAGAAGGAAGTCATCTAGGATGGTCAAACTTATACTATAGGTGCATGCTCTAGTAGCCTCCGAGGCACCTGCTGTTGTCAATTGACATTACATAAATAACATTGAATTATATTGAACTATAGAGACATTTAAAAATCGAGAAAACACAATATAAAAAGAAGAAATAATGGCAGCTTTATTTCCAAAACACATGTAGTGCACATTGTTATGGTTATCCCTAAAAACCCCGACACAGACGACGAGGGTGTCATTTGAAAAGAGATATTAAAGCAGAGGTACGTATAGGAACCAATTCACTACATCGTTTATTTTGTCAGTGCTCTTTTGGCGGTGGAACCGCTCACCGGAAGTGGACTGTCATTCCGATTGTGTCCTTGTTAGCTAGGTAGCCGCCACAACGGGCAAGCAAATGTGTGTTGTTTGGGAAGATGAATTAAACTGTACCTAAATAGTGAATCTGAACGACATCTCCGTGAAGCTGCTTTAACAGCATCATGCTGCGTGTCGGGAGCAGAGCTGCCTGGTGAGTTTGCATTTAATGA